ACAATCTAATACCACATGAAGAGTGGTAATAGTTGCCTATAGATATGGATGTCTATACATGAACTTGTACCTTTGTAGAAAATTCCCTACAACTAAACTGTTATGCTGAATTATGCACTAAATAACTATTAATAAGCATTAAAGTTAGTATACAAATATAATTTATTGTATATAAAACTAAAATCTATAATGTAACATTTCGCTTTTTATATCCTTCTATTTTTTTACTAAATTATACTTTAATGTTTTTATTTCGGCTCTTAATAATACTGTATCTTTACTGGTATATCCCAATAAAGATGATCCCAACTCACCTGATAATAATCAGCAATATTTGTGTGAGAAATACTATAAAACACTAAAAATTATTCTGGTAATAAGTAATATTTTTTTCATTATATCATTTCATTTGACATACTAGTTAAATCTGAAACAATAAATAGTCAAGAAACTCAAAACTGAATTTTCTTTTAGTGTTAAATAACATTTTTAAGAATAACTTACCATATACCTATCTATAAACATAAAACGCAATGTTTTACCTAAATATATTTCTTCCAAATAGTTAGAGCCGTTTCCGAGATGCACAAAATATAGGACAGCTATGCTTTATCTTACACTTTTGTATAAGTTAAGTTATAAAAGTTCGTTTAGTACCAGAGCTCTCTTGAAATAAACTTGTATGTTACCTTTGCATAGGACATTACCCATATGTATTTATAAGTTATAAAATGGTCAGCTAGCGTGACGAAAGTAGCTGTCATAGAGTATTTCTTACCACGCACTAAATATCAAGATGGCCTTGTAAGTTCTTGTATATATCCACCAACATAATATAAGTAACTCAGACCTATCACGCGATAAGTTTTAGGTAGCATGATGTTATTGAAATATTTATGGCTTTTTTTATAGGAACTGATTCAGAAGGTCAGATTATTTCGATTTCTTTGTTATTACTATTGAATGCTATATGATTACAGTCACTGAAGGAACAATTTGGAACATATAAATCTGAATAAAGCTGGTATTACGAGTAATATTCATAACATTAACAACAACTTTATGTAAAGTTAAAATACTAACGAATATTTTTATGTAAATGTGAATTTGTTCTTTATATTTTCATGAGTCATTGGAGAAGTAAATATCTAATTTACCATATAATTATTACTGACCCAACTAAGTATTACAAAAAACTCTTTTTTATTTGATAAAATACTAGCTGCCCGGCCCGTCTTCGCACGACTTCGTGTATAATACATGAACTCTGGGGGGAAGGGGATTGTTAGTAATGTGGACTCATGACCCCATTGCTAGCAATGTACCAATTCAGGTTGACCTCCACGCGGTTCCCCCTGGAAACCATCGTAAAATCGATAAATTCTTGGTGAATTTGTCACGATGGGCTAACTAACCTGACCCATGACTCATGCTCATCTTATCATCCTCCACTGGTGCCCCGCCAGCGTAAACCGTTAGCGCAGGCGGGAACATCATAGCATTATCTTCCATAAAAAAAATACATGAACTCTATTTGTACATTTATTTTTATGCATAATAGTTCATTCAATTAATTGGCTATAATAGTGAACCAACATTGATTTAATTTTAAAAAATAACAACAATATGTGGAATTTATATAATTTACGAAAGAGAGCATACCATAAAGCTTTCGATACTTAACAATGCTGCACACGTTTATCGCCCTTGCTAGTTTCAAATGCTTTAAAGCTTTGATACGTATACGAGTATATCGTATCGTTAAAAACATACGTCTAGATTTTATTGGATATATTTCATGAATCTGAAATTTCTCCAATATTAGTTTAATTAAATGTAATGTAAAACTGTTGTATCATATTATTATTATTATATATTACTGAAATGTTATATCCTCGATATATAATTAATATTATATAACATTTTAAACCCTACATTTTGCAATACATGAATTGTGTGATTTTTCACCCAATTTCAATAATACAAAGTTTCACAGTCAGTCTTACTGTACTGTAAACAACATATTATATTTACTTATTTATTGGAAATACAAGATTGTTGTTTTATTCCAGATTGTAATTTTAATGTAACATGAGATGAAAGTAGATAAAGTACAAAGAAGCTTAAAAATCTCGTTATTGGCTTTTCAAGCTCGTACATCGTTACATTTTTGACGACTAAGAAGAAGATGAGAAAAGGGGGGTGAGATTTAAAATTTCAAGTTGATAACTACGCCTTATGAGAATTCTAGTAACATTGTTGTTAGTTGCATCGTGGGTGCCTAAATGTTTAGAAAAACATTAAAACATTCAATTTCTATTGCCAGGCAATGTGCATTATTGTTGCTTTGAAATATTTTCGTTACATATACGTCACATTTTCGGGAAAAACTATTAATTAAGGGTGTAGAAATCTCCGCGTCGTAGTTCTTGTCATTTCAGAGCAATTGACCATACTCATATCGGACGCATCAGACATATTAATTTCTTATATAGACTAGTGTAGCCCCTATATAAAAAAAGAGAACCAGAGATATAAAAAACAAATTAAAAGTAACATTATACAAAACACTTCATATTGTCGCCACGACACAACAATGGCAACCGTATCTACATAGTCATTTATACAGTAGTGTACAGCGTGCGCGTTTGAATGGCATCTATCTATCTATCTATATGTATCTATACAATTCGTCGATTCAATTGTACTAGTTCATTTGCTTATGTTTTATAGCCTAAAGCGTATAAAACTTTATTGCTACTACATTTGTAACGGATCGGTTTAGTGGATTTGGATATAAACTATTTAAATTGATAAAATATTTTCGGCTACAGAAATTTAACAGAGTAACAAATGTAAAATTTACTTCTTATTATTTTGAACTCGGCATATTATTCTTTAATGTCGCACACGAGAGTCACTTAAGTTTGAATGACATTTTTTATTAATGTTTTATATTCCGCTAACAGTTAAATGTGAAAGTTCTATACATGTTTGAATATTCTGTACGTTTTATAATAAACTATATGGCATTTTACAATTAATTATCCAAGAAAGAAGCCAGGGCCGCCGAAGAACCAGGCAGGCGCCGCACTTCATCAGCGCCGACTAAAGAATGGCAGTGGTTTGGGATTAGCACCAGATCCTTGTTCGGAGCAGCGGTGGACAAAATTAAGATCGCCAGGATGATCGCTAACTTCCGGTAGGAGACGACACAAAGAAGAAGATAATAAACTGCATTAACTTAAGAAAATGGAACAATAATACGTATTTACAATTAAAATTTGAAGGGCGCTTAGTACTTTTTTTTATTGATGCAGTAGTATTATTCAGCGCACGATTATTTATTTAATAACACTGGACATTTCTAGAATACTTTGATCTAAATCTAATGATGCCGCCGGTGAACTTTAGATTTAATTGTTTGTTTATGTGATTATTTATTTGTATAAATATCAAAATTGCAAACGAGCTGACGGCCCACTTAATGGTAACTGCTAATCTGTTTGGCGGCTGAAATAGGTAGACCGAGGCATCCACGCAAGACGACTTTTTACAAAGTCTACCTCGATGAAAATATGAGGTTTATAATAATACTTTTTGACAATTCATACAATGTGTTCTAATCCGAAGCTAAGCAGGGCTTGTATTTGGGTACTTATATACTATTTTTTGTTTAGTTAATATGTATATACATAGAAAACACCCATACCGATACAGACAATCATACTCATGAATACAAACGTTTGTACCGTACGAGGTATCAAAACCACGATCATAGACAGTAAAATGGTTGTAGTTCAGTATATTTACAAATTGAAGTGATTGAGCTGATTGATTAATTAACTAAATTTAGTTCATCAATCATCAATGTTCTTTCTTTTCAATCCTAACGTGTGATTATTAATTCGTTCGGAAAGAAAATCCATACCAAATATAAATAACTATGAGTACTTTAAGGTAGATTATAAATAAAATTGAAAAAAGGAGACATATTAAAAAAGAGCGTATATTATTTAGATATATGTTATGAAAGCGTTCTATAATTATATCAATTACTCTATTTTTAATTGAAAGATATTCTCCCTTGTACTAAATCCACATAAATTTGGCAAGTTTAGTTTGTAGTATAATAAATTTAATTTATAATAAATATGTTTTCTTTATTTGTACATAAAAATCTATTCAAATCTGGATTACATCAATGTAAAATAAATACTAAAGAAAAATTGATTACAAAAGTGATCATAGATATCCGATCAGTATGCGAATATATTGTCTAAAAATATAGATGAATTCAATAACTTACTTACTTCTGAAGTTGAATTAATGTTTCCTACTCTATAGTAATCTATCCACATCCATAAAAAATCATTATCCAAATCAATGCTGAACCGATTAATGTAACAACTAATAAAATACTAAAAATAGGATCGTTCTAGAGCCTTCTTGAATCTATTGAAATAAAAATTATTTTGTATTATACAGAATAGTTAGTCCAATTAAAAATGAACCTTTATCTCGGAAGATAACAAACATTAAGAAGAGACGTGGAGCACGTACGAGATCAAATTACAACGATTGAGAGATCGTTGACCTATTTCCCGAGCGCGGTATCCCACTGTAACTTAAAACCGGTCTTTTTATAGCCTACAAATAAACCGTTAATAAATAAGTTAATTAAAGTAGTCTGACATTCTATTAAGAAATTTATTATTATTAGAGAATAAATTTATATTAGCATTATAAATACGGCATAAAATCGTAGAAGTCATTATAGTCTCCAATATTTTCTTACAATAATAATAAGTATAATAAAAATGATGATTAAATTTTCTTGAATTCGATTTCTTAAATGGTCATATATGTTATATCAAATATCAAACCAACTGAAATTATTTAATATTTCATATTCTAAAGGAATTTTCCAACTCACATAAATTACTCATGTATTTATTAGTACTTAAGTAATAAATAAAATTCAATATAAATAAACTTACGCGTCCAATTTGAATACGAAAAAAAATATCACACACTATTCACTGTTGTTTTTAAAGTCCGTGTTTTGAGCGATGTTTTCGTAGCGGCGCTACGGGCTACGAGCGCGTCTACATACGATCGAGCAGCGACTGAATCGTAGCGGCTACGGCTACGAGTCACGTGATCGATGAGCGTTCTAAAGCCGCTTTTAGACTTACAGCATTCAATATTCAGCACTTGTCATGAATAATATTCATGAAAGACATAAAATACTTTTATCTCAACTTTTGTAAATTACACTACGCAATGATTTGACGCTGGGCTACGCATATTTTGTAATATTTTTACATTTTCGATATATTTTTTGTCTTCAGTCAAGAGTGCATATAATATTGAAGGTTCAGTAAAAATATTATGGATATTATACCTAAGTTGAAGTGTTATTTCTATTATTGTACTTACGGGCGGTGGTCTAACGCTTTAACACGCCATACTTCCGATGTTCGAGGTTTATATTCCTCATATATCGTTAGTATGATTGTTTATCCTGTTGTTGTGTATAAGCCTGTGTGTTTTCTGTGTGTATTATGTATGTATTTACACAAAAATGCATCTATGTGAGTTATTTAGTATCCATAACTCTGCTTAGGTAAAATGAGGACTGAATGACCGTATGTCCGAATGAATTATCCTGAGATATTATTATTTATTTAATCGATACTTTTTATTAGAAATATGCAGTTATTATTAAATTATATAAATATATTATATATATAGAAATATACCTATAGTGTTATATATATCATAATACCATAAATACAAAAGTGTATAAATCTGTCTTCGTTATATATGAAGACTAAGCGGCTGAACATTTCTTAATGAAGTTTCACGTGAAGATGTATCTCAAGGGCTTTATTTAATAAAAAAAAGAAAATGGGGCGAGCTACATCTAATATATTAAATAACTTATACTTATGTCTGATTTATGGTATTGTCTGTGAATTTCTAAGAATTTTCTTAACCATATTCCGACATCTCTGGGATGTCAGATCTGTAATCGACTAATCTAATACGATTTCAGCAAAAAATCCTCGGGAAAAAGCTTCATTTTGACACTAATTTTAAAAGTCTGGAAGAGATTGCTTAGCGATAGGAGCACCTTACGTGCTACTTCACTTATATTTTCTACTAGCAATCCATCCCGGGTTTGAACGAGTATGATGAGTGTGATAATTGTTATGTAATACTCTTATGAAAGAACTTATATATTACTTTAATAGTTAATCAATTATAAACTAAAAAACGTACAACTAATCAAATCTTTTCTCATAGTAGTTAATATATATTACTTACAGTTAACATTTTCACATTTTACATCAAAAGTTGTGGTGGATTTGCGGCTTACCCCTATGGTTGCCGGTTCGATTCCTTGTATGGTACAAAAATTTGTATTCATGAATATGATTATTTTTTTAAATGTATATATATTATGCATTTACAAAAAATGTATTAAAGTACATCTATCAGTTATCTAGTAGATGCTGTGTGAATTGTCCTAGGTTAATATAATTATTATTTGTCCATACATTAGAAATTACAATAATAATTTTTAATCCTATCTTTATTTTCATTCCCTAAATTATCCTTCACGATATAAAGACAAGGAAAACCGTAATATTATGTTAAAAATATTTGGTGCGGCGGTGGCTATGATCTAGCCTTCTTCGATGGACTATATTATTGTATAGGAAACTGGCTGGTCAAATATGAATGACTTACCCTTACTTCAATGTGCTTGTTCTTCAGTGGGCCCACACGGTTACGGGAATCTCAGGAATTCACTCAGGTTGATTACAACTATTAAGACATGCGTGCGATATGAGTGCGACGTGCGCGCGCGGCGAAAGCTATGACATCACTGATTATTGAATTAGCCGGGAGGGGTGTCAATGCACATCAACAAACCAGGTACGCATCGCGTTTGGCGTAACCATGCCCCCCGCCTTGACATAATGTCAAAGTAAAATTAACAAAAAAAATAAAGGAACTACATAATTGAACCTTATTGCGAATGCGACAAATACAAAAAACAAGAAAGAAAAAATACAAAAAATATCAAATGCGGAATTTACTAAATAAGAAAAATGCAAAGGATTTTAACTTAACTTATTAACCTATTATAAATGCGTACTACCTATCTTATAGAATACATATTATTGCAAAGGCAATGGACATAATTTTACCACTGGCCTTTGAAAAATACCAGCCTTTGTTTTGACTGAGGCAACGCGAATAATGCCGTCCTTACCCTTATAAACTCGTGTTATAAGACCAAGAGGCCAATGTAATGGAGTTAAATTCTCCTGCATAACAACTACTATCGTGCCTTCCTGGATAGGAAAGGCCGGCGTGTTCCATTTGCGTCTCAATTGCAACGTATGCAAATATTCCCGATGCCACCTCTTCCAAAATGATTGAACGAGTTGGTCTAAAAGCTCGTGTCGTTTCAAAAGATGAGGAATAGCGTCACTTACGTCATGTGCTGGGAAGTGTTTTAGCGGTATAGTATTAAGAAAATGAGCAGGTGTCAATGCTTCCAGGTCCGACGGATCTGAACTTAAGACGGTCAATGGGCGAGAGTTTAATAGCGATTCTATTTGTGTAAGAACAGTCGTAAGTTCTTCAAAGGTTAAAATTTGTAGCCCAATGACTTTACTTAGATGGCTTTTGACACATTTTATATTACTTTCCCAGCATCCTCCAAACTGCGGTGCGTTAGGAGGGATAAGGGTCCATTTAATTCCATTGTTAGCTAATTCCTTATCCCAAACAGATCTACATTCTTGCGATAAAAACAAATAAAGTTCACGTAGGTAGGATCGTGCCCCTATAAAATTAGTACCATGATCCGTATACATGCATTGAATAGGACCGCGGCGAGCGAGAAAACGTTTTAACGCGGCGAGAAAACAAACTGTACTCAATTCACTTGCGAGCTCAATATGAACAGCCCGAGTGGTTAAGCACGTGAATAAGCAAACGTATGCTTTGCGAGTGGTTATACCACGACCGCCAACTCTTAAGAGATTGTCTGATAAAAATGGATTTAATTTAATTATTGATGCGGTACAAGGTTTTTTATTATTTAACTTGCTAATATCGTTTTTAAAATGAAACCCCTGCACAGCGCGAATAATTATACGTTCGGCGAAATCCAAATCGGAACTGGATATGACGCCGCGTGGAAGAATGTTAGCGAACTTATAAATATAACAAATTACACGAAGTAATTTCATCCATGACGAAAATTTGCGAGCGAGCGAATATAAATAAGGTTCCATAGAATCTTCAATGGTAACCAGTGCGATAGGGTTTTTATTTCCTTCATCGGAAGCTAACTGAGCTACAGTACGTAATGCTAAGTACGGGCTGCAACGTAAGCCAAATGCAACTTTATTAAATTCAAAGACTTGGAGCGGTTTATTAGGACTAAATCTATATACAATACGTTGAAAACAACGATCTTGCGGGCGAACTTTTATTCGTAAATACATTTGTCGCATCAGCTGAGATGGCGACTGCGAACAATCTCATATTCAAGAGAATAATAAATAAATCCTGTTGTAAGGAAGGACCTGTATGTAGAATATCATTAAGCGAAAATCCAGTACTAGACTTCGCGCTTGCGTCTAGTACCGGCCTTATTTTCGTGGACACTTTGTCCTCACGTAAGACTGCGTGATGCGGTATAAAATAACTAGGGCTGTTATTTTCAATTACGTCTACGGGAGAAATATATTGTTTTTCTATATATTCGTGAATTACCTCATCATAAAGGTATTTCAGTTGCGGTTGCGATGCGAATTTACGTTCCAAATGATAAAATCTGCGTTTAGCGATATCGAAAGAGTTCCCTAAAGACTTAGAACTATACTTAAATGGTAAAGCGACTTCGTAGTGACCTGATTCGTTACGAGTGGTCGTTGTGGTATAAAAATCTTCACAGTATTTATCGTCTATACTTGTTATTGGTTTGCGATCTACTTCTTCAATCTCCCAAAATTTGCGAATTAATACTGAAACCACGCACGAAGTGGTGGAACAGAACGAGAATGAAGAAGACGTAGAAGTTAAGGTGGGAGCTTCACCTAAAATAAGATAACCGAGAACAGTCTCCAACGCGTTTGGAGTACCAGGTGAATTTATAATTTTACCTCCAGACAAAAGGGTCGCGAATAGGTTGACACCAATCAAAAGGTCAATTTCTGATGGTGTTCCCCACGTATCATCTGCGAGCGGAATATTAGTTAAGTAACTGAGCGCGCCAACATCAATTTGACATGTTGGTAAGTTACCTGTTATTTTATTCAAAACTAAAGCGCGAATATTATAATATTGCTCATGATTAAATCTCGATCGGAAAGAGAGATCAACTGCACCCTTAACTGGTTGACCTATACCCTTAACGGTGGTATGTGTCCGGCTGCATGGTTAAACCCAATTTTAAACAACACTTAGAAGTAATATAATGCTTTTGTGACCCGGGGTCCAATAAGCAGCGAATGACAACATCACTCCCATTACGAGCAGTAGCAAATACCTTGGCAGTAGCAAGTACTTCAGTCACATACGGCTGCTCATGAATGGACGATGAAAGCGTGCATAACGACTCCTTGTCTCCACCAGTGGTGGTTCCAATAGGAACGGGAGTTGGTTCTAATCGTGTCTGTTGTGTGGGTTGTGTGTGCGCAAGCGGAGGCAATTGCGACGAAGAAGATGGTGGTAATTGGCGACCGTGCGTAGAAGATGTCTGTGCGTTTTTCGTACCCTGAGATACTTGCGTAGTTGCGGAATTATTATTTTTAAAACAAAGCAACGTATGATGTCTCGGATTGTTACAATTTCGACAGGCGGAAGTTGATTGACAACTGAAAGAGTTATGTTGACTACTTAGACATCTAGTACAAATACGGTTAGTTTTAATATAATTAAATCGATCATTAATTGTGAAAGTTGAAAATTGTTTACATTTATATAATTGAGAATGTGAATCACCTTTACATAAGGAACAATAAATGCGTTG